CCGCTTGTCCGATCGTCCTAATCGGTGCTTGGATCTCGTCCAGACGACTTCACCGAAATCGGAGCGCGCGGAGCCCAAGCTGCTGAGACCACGAGTGTCTGTGAAAGTTCTGTCTGGTGCAAAGTGGTGCGCCGACAGGTCAGGTTTGATCGCATGCCGTGGCCGAAGAGCTGTTCCAGCATTTGGGGGCAAATATAATTGGCAAGGATTATGAATTTGAGAACAAAAGGATCATTGTTAAGAAGAGTGATTCATGTGGACAAATGACCTGCTGGGCGAGTTGACGGAGCGAGACATGTTGTACCTCACACACCTTCCTTCCATGTTTCAGCAGATCAGGCCGGTTTTGCAGGACGTTTAGCGCTACATCCCGTACACCATTATTGTACCATTAGTGCCGTGCATTTATTAGGAAGTGGGGGTACTAAGTGATTTATAAGTGTACTTATTTGGGCAGAAATGTCATTTATAAAGTGTCCCAACAACAATTTCACCACACACGAGAATACCAATGAGGATTGTGGGAAATTAAAACATTGCTATTGTATATCACTCACGTGTTTGACAAGTACAAAATTGCTTTCACAAACTTTGTTGGCACCTGGGGATGAAATAGATTTTTACGATTAGTGGAGTGAAAATGGTGACAACCGAACCCTGGAAACAGTTGACGACATGCGTGAAACAAGACATCGACTACTGATCACAACAGCACTTAGTGACCATTACGGGCTTTGCTGTAAATTGCAGTTAAAAAAAGAATCTTTTTTTATTCCTGACATTTCAGCCTTCTAAATCCCAGATTTGAACTTCAAATCATTCTGCCATCACTGCCTCTGGCTCACCCTCTTCCACTCCTACACACACACACACACACACACACACACACACACACACACACACACGTACACTACAACGACACCTTTATGAAACTCACTAGTTCAAAGCACTTACAGAGAATGCTTATCATGATGCTTAGAATCATCCGTGTTGGTCTTTTTCCTTTGTGAATGATGCCCCCCCACCCCCCCCCCACCCCGCACACACACAAACACGCTTGACACCTGAGCAGCATCTGCAAAGTGCGTTCACGGCACTAAAAGAGACAAGACAATTTGTTTTCTGTTTTTTTACTCAACTGAGTCGAGAGCAACAAGAAGCAAAGGGATCCTAAATGAACTGCAGCCTGCGGATCAGCCATTAAAGCGCCGCTCAGTCGTATGCTGAGCCACAGAGTCCTCAAATGCAGCCATGATCTTCTTCAGCGGTCACCTTCAAGATTTTAGATTTTATTGATTAGTATCCAGGTTTTGCGGCATTTTGTTCAGACACCAGCTGTTTTTTTTTGTTCGATTGGGACTTGACTTGAGGTCGAGCTCTGGTGGTCGGTGATCAATCTCAATGTAGGTAGTGGCTTGTGCGCAGTAGGACTCTCCTTGATGAACGACGAGGTCTTTGATTTTGGGTCGTGACAGGCGACCAAGGGTGCATCCAAGGAAGGCGGTGCCGAAAAAATGAGACGCTCACATGTGTCGAAGTAAGTAGAAAAGAACTATTTCACCCCTACCATCTGGATGTATTCCCAAGAAGTGAAAAATTGGCTGATTTCAAGGGTTTTGCAGCGACTTATTGGACAGATGGAGAGCAGGGTGGTTTGTGTTTTGGTCGGAACAAGTGCCTCTAAACCGTGTGTGCTGGTGGAGGCTGTCTTTACAAATTACATCTGGGACGACATCTGCATCGCTGACTGAAGACCAACTGAATGAACTGCAAATAGAGAAAAACTGTAAAAGCTGTAAATGTTTCTGCCCACATTTTACTGGTTTAGTTTCCCAAACGGCCACACATGATAATCAATATATTGTTGGGAAATGCAACAACAACAACAACAACAATTATTCAACACTTTGGTACCCTGGTGGCTCACCTGGTCGATGGAGCCCGATGTACTGAGGTCTTCGCCATAGGGGCCCGAATTAGTTGCTGCTTGTCCGCCCTTTCGCCCCTTTACATGCCTACTTTTAGCTTTTAAGGCAAGAAGGTCAGTTAAAAATACAAAAAAAGGTTATGCAACACCTACAAAAATATAAGATGTCAATAAGTATTCATTTTTGGATCAGATGTCTAGATTGAACAACAATCTAAAGATGATATTTCTTTCTTTATAATGCGTTTCTCTGGTATGATCATTAATCATCATTTAAGATTTATTCTCTCAGCCACAAGGTCCCCGAGGTCGAAGTGAAATGAACTGCAACCTTCTGTCAAGACAATCAGATCAGTTTTCAGCTGCCTTCAAGGAATAAACAGGAAGTCCTGTTAGATCCAAATTGTTCTTTTACTTTATAGACCTGTGTATTGATGTGGAAATGTGCACATTGCATTCTATCCTTTGCTATTTTTGTGTCTGCCTTAGAAACCGATAGCTGCTCGTTTTGTGTGAAATAGACAATGATGTGAATGATATCATCGATCACAAAAGACACGATTTTAGATCAAACCTTCACTGCACAACATGAAACTTGTGTCCAACAGTCCAGCGTTACAGGTTACAATCACACAGAAAAAGTGGATGTTCGACAAAACGTGGTGATGTTGGTGTTGTCAGATCGCCTGTTATCAGTTCTGCGCAGGAATCCTCTCCCACCCACTACGTCCACAGCTGATTCAATGCAACGACCTTTAGAAATGTCATCCCAGATAATGCTCATTGATATCGAGGAAGTGACATCATCTGTGACTTGAAGGAACGCGTCCATACTTCTAGTTTTAAAAACAGGATTTATTTTCATAGTGAAGCAGTAAAGAATACAAATCAACAGCTTAGCTGGAAAGGCCAAAGCTGCTGGTTCTTCTGCACCTGTTAACAGGCCGTTACCTCTGGGAATGGATCCTTAGTAGTCGGCCTTCATCTTTTGTGCCTCTACTGTCACTTTCATTTCAGCTGTCAGCTTTGGGCCGACTTGTGGTTCGACGATCTTTGTAAATATCTTCTGCATAGAGTCACTGGTGTGACTGTTGCTTCAAAGCACGGATTGAAATCTTCCAGTGTACAGGGGTGAGAGGAAAGACCACTTCGGAGCGGCACAGATCAACAAAGACCCTTGAACAGAGCAGTGAATCTCAACTATTCCCTTGGAGCTGCTGCTCCCACAGAGCAGCCCTTTCATCCGCGCGAGTCCAGAAAGCTCAATCCACAACTACGTGAACTGAGAATGGAACCAAAACCCCAGGGGGTCTCCGAATATAATACAGAGGAATCATGGTTTGTTTACCCTAAAAAATGCCCTTTATCTATGCTGTTTTAAAATGTGTTTCAAAGAGGAAAGTTCGGTATTTTTGTGGTCAATGCAATACGGAGAAAAAAACATCATAGTCAATCTCATCCCGGAGCTCGTTCTGATTCCTCTGTGGGTTTATATGATGTAAATGTTCAATTCATTTGCTTTTGTATAGTTTATATATTTTTGTTTATTATGTATCTGACACAGATCATACAAATCATTTTTAAAGATTGCTCTGGCAGTCTCTTATATTATCTTTGCTCATGTTTTACTTTTGTATTTCTTGCATTAGAGCTGTATTTACAAATGGTGACCGCAATTTTGAGCAGTTAAACCTTCAACTAAAAAATGACCTTCACTGTTCATCACTCAAGACTTTTGTTTGTTGTGCTTTTGTTGTTTGTTAAAGTGCCATTGACGTTTATTCTTGTATCTGGGGTTCATTTTTTCACATTTCCAAAAATCTCTACAAAAGTTAAATTGACAAAAAGCTACATTAGAGTTAAAGCTCATTTTGCGCTGAAATAAATGTAATACTTTATATGTGCATTAAAGATGGATTCAAATGTGCTGAACAAAGGCAAATGCACAGAAAAGCATCTAAAATACGCGTACTGGAAGCCCAATGTATTATGTAGTAAAGTTAAAAAATGTGTGACCTTTTTTTTACTTATAAATAAGCCTCCAGAGTCTGGATTTGCATTGGCTGGGGAACAAGGATGAGAGAAGCTGGAGGACATGAAGGAAAGGATGGACATGTCTTCCTTTGCATCAGTACTGAACATAACACTCCTTAATGTATTAGGACACAAGTTAAAGACTTACTAATAATGTCACCATAATCGGGAGGGAGACATCCCTGAAACTCCCCGAAACCTTTGGTATTACAGCGTCCTTCAATGAAGTTCATCCTGTCTCTGGAAGATCCATCATCACACGTAAGTTCCAAATATTGATCGCTTCGATCTGGGAGCACGGACCTTGAAATACCCGATTGGGGAGAAAGCGAATGAAGCAAATCCTTGCTAGCTGTTAAAGCCGATTTCTATCTGTTGTAGCGGTACTAGTTACTAGCTGTGTGTGAGTTACCATACCAACTATGTAATGCGCTGGGAAACACTTGAACTGTTCATCTCACTGGAGTTTAAATAGAAGAAACATAGTTTTTCCCACATTACGGCCAAGATACGCGACAAGACTAAAGTTACGTTTTTCAAGAGGTAATTTGGCTTCAAATAAGTTCGTAGTGTGCAAATTATACAATCAAAATGGAGTGTGGAATTCCGTGCGACAGGCATGATTTCCCTCCCTGAAAAAGCCCCAACTTGATTAAATGAAAAGTATCAAATAAAATGATGCAACTCCAAATTGGGGGGTGGGGGGGGGGTTGTTGTTGTGAAAGATTTCTTTTCAAAAGATTTTTTAAATACAATATAAAAATTATATTATATAAAAAAAAAAGAAAATGGGTTGAATAACTATGAAATGAATGTGCATCAAAGCCTCAACAATATGCTTAAAAACCGCCACTCCTACAAACAACCCTGATTGTCAAGAGATGTAAAGGGAATGCAGAGTAGTTTTTCACCTCATACTGGGTGGTGCTTGGCGACGGCCGGGAAGAAGCAAAGTGACTCCAACCGGAACCCAATCGCACCGTCAATCAAAGTAGTTCCAATTTCCACTACTTCTGCTGTGACAATAACACACTGCAGATGATTTTCAAAATAAAATAGACTTTAATGAAGACGTTTACGGTACCAGCGTGCATCTATGACCTTTAAACCCATGTAAATCAAGACAAAGCACTCACTGCACAAAAACATACAACACAACAATCCTCCGCATGCCATCGTAAGCACAACACAACAAGCAAGTGGCATGGCTTGATATTCAGGGTTGGGAGGTGAGAAGTAGGAGCTTCAGCCCGTCTATACGGGTATCAGCATGCACTGCACACCAAAATCTGGCACTAGCAGGTCTGTTTGATTTATATCCTGTCTGATGTTCAAGGGAAAGTCACTACTTTCTAAATGCGACTGTATCCTGGCCTGTAAACAGGACTGTGTGTGTGTGTGTGTGTGTGTGTGTAAGTAGTTTGGATAGGTGCTGCTGAAGTCCATGTGTATAGATAGTATGAGTCGCTGACCAGTAGTGATGTTAATGGTTGCGTGTCAGCACTGTGGTCACACACATGCAAAACATCTTTTGTTGCTGGATTACACTGTTAGATTTAGTTTTATTTGTTGAACCAATGTATGACTATAAAGTGAATGTATGACTACAAAGCTCAGAGCGTTCCCATCTTTTTCTCAGCTGGCTTCGCGATGCCGCGTGTATTTTTTCCGTATGAAGCTCTCGGCTCAGTGGGAGATCTGCAAACATGAGCCAGTTTACCCGAGCACATGTCCACGCATTGATATGCTTTAACAGAACAGCCATCCCTGCAAAAAGTAAGGTTTGACATTTATGACAAGACACTTATTTGACCTTACTGCAGACGTGCAAAACCTTAGAAGTATACATCATTTTCACTCTTACATTTCACCTTTTCCTGTCTCCCTAAAACAATTCAGATAATATTATTACAGAGGGAAAACATTGACGAACAATATGGGCCCAACATTACTGAAATTTAGCAATTTGGCGCAATAACACTAGTGTTCTTTTCTTTTACTTTTGCAAACACCAAATCGTGACAACCCGGGGACGGGGCCCTTTTTACAGCAGTAATTTCCACTTCCTCGCATTCAACACAGGTGTAAAAGATCAAATGAATCACAGTTCAATTCTCTTTGGTGTCACTCCAGTGAGTCAGCGGGCACAATACCAGCGTCCTCGCCCACCTAAATGGAACATTTTAATTATAGCCCTGGTTTCCCTGCGAGGGCCAAATAACTGCTGTGAAAAGCGTCTATAAAGTATTTCAAGTTGAAACATTGGTATCGTCACCATTAAAATCGTGAGAAAATCGCAAGTATATAACCAGCAACAAAACACATTTTATATAATTTTGTTTGCTATGAATTTGGGTTACTTTAGCCATAAAATAGGATTTGACTGGTTATGGCAGATGAAGCTTATTTTGCCTAAATAACAAATATTTAATTTCGGCAAATTGGATTTTGTTTCAAATTGTGTTTCTGCCAGACTTATTAACTTGGGTCCAAATATCATTGGTGGTGGGAATCTACCATTTGATGCTGCTGCTGAAATAGACAGCAGGGATCCTGAACCACACATACGTGATGAGCAGTGATACTGAGACTATACGCCACAACAGCTCTCAGGGCGGACACAGAGACAAACAACCATCCACACACCAATGGGAAATTCACAGTTTCCAATCAACGTAATCCCCAGAGCTCGTCTCTGGGCCGTGGGAGAAAACCCACGCGGACGCGGGCAGAACACAGACAAACCACCACAGCGCCGCCCCTTCAATCCCCAACAAAAACGTGTGGATTAATCCCGCTTTTAGCTCCAGTGTGAAAACTAAACAAGTTTCATGAAAAAGCTGTTCTTAATTGGAAAAAAAACGAGTGCGATATGAGCCGTCCTGCCAGTGGTCATAATGGTGTCATCTTATGGTAATTATATCAAGGCATAACAGTTGATTTGGCACATATACAACATTTTTGCTCCTACCAGGCTGTCACTCACAACATGTCAATCACAGCAGTTTGGTCAGTGGCTCCGCGCTTAAAACTGCGGCATTGTCGGTGCTCCTGCCGTAAATCACTTTCACAGATGGGTCATGTTCTGGCTACGACCCCTGTTCTGTATTTAAGTACGCTGCGTTACGTTCAGGACGTTAGTGGCCTTTTAGGTGGGCTTCGTTATGTATGCAACGGTGTTGCTAAGTCACTGTTGCCTTTTGGTTTCACCCGGCTGCTGGTAGAATTTTCCCTCTTTACACTACAGACGTACGTATATGTAACTTTATCCTTCTCTTCCACCAAAACCACGGCCACGCAGGGCACCGTAGTTTGCGGCACGAGGCCAATGACTGAGCCGCCATGTTTAACAGGTTGGGAGTGACGTCGGTTCAGGGCCACGCGTGATTGTAAAACACACTCAGTACATTTTTGACATTTTTAACATGGTGAATCACTGCAGCATAGAAGAGAGTACAACGGTGTTTTGACATATATCCAGTAATAGTGATAAACATGCACCACAAACACAAGAAGACATTTTGACGCACTACATCTACTGTCCGACTTTGTGACAGCAGTTAGCTTTAATATTGCTGTAGACCTGTGCTTATGATGACAATATTCATCGCCTTCGTACATGGCTGCTTGGCTAAGCCGCTTTTGTGCTCGCATATTTATTGGTGCATCGTATCATCCCAGCGCCTTTGCACAGCGTATTGCAATACAGGCAGTGAACTGCAATCTGTGTGTGTGTGTGTGTGTGTGTGTCTGTATGTCGCTTACAGCTGTGCGTGTGTGTGTGTGTGTGTGCTTGTTGATCCCCTGCTGGCATACTTCATAAATATGTTGTCGTGCTCCATCTGCAGCTGAGGCAACAGGAGACCGGCATCTCCAAGTCCCATTGACCTACACTATGAGATGTAAGCTCTGTCCCCAACTCTAAACTAAAGTAAGAGTGTCCCAATGTAGAAGTCCGCTGCATCCTCTTGACGAGCGGAGATGAATGAAGATGCGCCGCAAAAGCCAAGCACTGAAACTGCAAAGAAAAACAACGCTTTCTCTGCAGAGCCCGTCACGGGGCTTCAAAGGAGAGGGCCGGGGCGGGATGAAGGGCTGGATGCATTTTGGTATTTGAAAGACTGGCTAGCCTTCAGCTAACTGATGTCAGGGTTTGGCTTTTTTTCAGCCGACTTCTGTCACTTTTTTTGAAGGGAGACGCGAATCAAGTTGAATCAAGTGTCCTCTAATGTGAGGTGTGCGATGACATCCGAGTCTCCAACGACTCAACAGACAGTTCTGAGTATTCCTGTTTCTAGCTTTTCCTTTTTACACCCTCTGTTGTGCTTTTTTCTAACATTCAACAAACCATCATGCTGGTTAACAAAAAACTTTTTTCTAGAGTTTGATATTTTGTGTCTGTAATAAATGAATTAAACAGTTACACCTTTCAAAAGCTGACTGTTCTCAACACCACGGTGTCACGGCTCCCCAGGAAATGTATATGTATGGCTGTGCAGCTGGCTAACGTGGACTCTGGGGGGGGGGGTTGTTAGAGGAAAAGCTATCGGGATGCGTTTTCCCCCTCACATTGGACACACTTTGTTCTCTGGGATGGGCAGCTGGGCAAACGAGACACAGTCGGTTGGAGAATCGTCAGACCTGGGCGACACGGTGCTGCTCATGGGGATGCGCGTCGCAATAGCTGACATTTCTCCCGTTTGACTCATTCCAGGTCGCTCTGAGGTCGGGTCCAGGTGGCCATCTGGGATGGTTCCTCTGCCACTGAAGAGCTGGATTAGGCACTTCCTGAACTGGACAGAAAACAAGAAGAAAAAAAGGGGTTTAGCTCCAATAAAATGATTTAAAATATTTGCGGGCCATATTTATCGCACATGAAAAAGTTGTCTTAAAGAACAGTACAGTGCTCCCTCACCGGAAGACAATGTGAATATACTCTGTTACAAGTAAAAGCCCTACATTCAAATTGTTGAGAAAGACAAAAGTATTAGTATCTAAACACACAAAAGTAAGAAGAATACTCATTATTACTATTGACATATGCTTATATTATGGTAACGGCAAAAGAGAGGATCTCTTTGTCGGATTGGTGCAGCTGCAGCAGTAAAACGCGCTGTACTGGACCGACGTGGTGGAGAGGTTCACTGGGCAGTCTACGCTCAGACCCTCACCTATGGTCACAAACTCTGGATCCTCACAAGAACAAGGTTGCATGAAGAAGTGGCCGAAATAAGCTTTTTCCGTAGAATGGCTTGCGTTTTTAGTTTATTTGAATATTAAATATCTAAGAATCTGAATCTGCAAAGTAGCCTAACAAGTAACTCCTACTCTCAAATATATTTTGTGATGTTAAAAGTACAAGATTTCCCTGTCAGATGTAGTGGAGTGAAAGTATAAAGTTACCAAAAATGGAAACGCTCAGATTCATGTGCCTCAGAATTGCGCTTAAGTACAGTACTTTAATGGCCTAAATGCACTTTGTCCTTTATAGACCATCGTCTAAATTGGAGTTCAAAGTGAACCAGATTGATGCATTCAACTTTAAACGGTACTCACTAACAGCCCCAATCATTGGTTTCCACATTACTTCATATCTGAAAACACTAATTGACCTTTTAACAGAGTCAAAGCTCCCACTTTGTGAAGCCCCAGGGACAGCTCATTATTCCTGACCCTTAATGACCCGACTGACTTAAAATGCAGGCCTCCTAAATCCTGCCCCCGAACCAGTGCTTTCAAACAGATGTGATAACTGTTCCCCTCCGATTGTTACTAAAGAAATCAAGACTACGCCTTTGTTCACTGAACTTATGTGAACATCTATTGTGTAACTCTTCCCTCCAACCTTGCACTATATAGCTGCTGCACAGGAATTAAGGTCATGAAATGTCACTTTAATGGCAGCATGAATAATGTGAAACACATTATCCCTGCACATCTACAGCTCATACTTCCATCGGTTTCATAAAACCATTGCAAAGGTGAATTCTAGAAAGCCAAAAGGAGAAGAAAGACTCCTGCAATTTGATGAGAAAATGCGGAAAAGTAGATGCTATCAGGTTATTTGTCAGGTAAATTCACACCTCATAGCTGAATTCATAGATGTTTTGGCCACTTGGGGGAAGCACATAGAGATGTTAACCGTATGAAGTTATATTGCTTACAATACGTATGTATCGTGCATCAGCACGGCTTTCTGGTCCCCATCTACCTCCATCTATTCTTTTAAGTGTGTTTTATTACTGCAGATACTGTTTTAGTATGAGGGAATGCTGCACACCTAGTGGCAAACAGTCTGTTTTTACTTAATTTTGTATTTTGACACTTTTTTTGAGGCAGATGCCACAGATCTGTGGGATCCCGAAGATCCTTTATGCTGCAACCTGCTGCTGGATCACGATGATGAAAATAAGCCCCTTTGCTGTCTTCTCCAGGTTTGTGGACTGATCACATCGTGGATTAACGTTGGGGGAGATCTTCCCTCTTTTATTTCTGTTTTTAAAGCAGTCTGCTACGATTCTATTTAAGGCTGGTGCAAGTGAATCAAAAGCTCAGGGCAAAAAATACGAAAACACAAATACATGTTGAGACACTTGAACTCTTTGGAGCTGAAAGTGGAATTTGTTGTGGATTTGTCACTCTGAGGTCACATGGTCACCGACTCAACGTATCTCCAGACGGCAATCGTTTGGGGGAATTCTGTTGTCAATCACTTTGCTTTGCATACTTACTGAGTTAAAAACATACCTTTTAACTGTCCAAAGAGTACGTTGGACCTTTTTATCTTGCAAAAAGTAGACCCGTGCACTGAGGTTGTGATGCCACGAGCCCTCGGGTGCTTCCAGCCATTGAATTCTCACACAGCCGCACTCTTTGCATAGCCGTCCTCACACATTCCCTCTCAACAACGTTCTTTACGCAACAGCGCTTAGAAATGGCCTGTGCTCCCGGAATATGTGATCCATTTGTATCCCGACAAAAAACCTTTTTACACTGCCTGTTAAATAATAAAAACAAACACTAGCAACGGCAACCGAGAACGGCTACAATACACTATAGAGAATAGACCGGCACCATTCATTCTGATTATGAGTCATATAATGTCTGTGTTTAGATATCTAAATATGTAAAACTCACACATACATGACACCTGCGTGCCATCTGAAGTCAAACGCTTTGCCATTATGCCACTAATGTTGTCTTTTGTGACAGTACTGTGGAATCGGTGTGTGCCGGGGAATAAAATGTGGGTGAGAAAAGTCAAATCTCCGATTTACTTTTGGATTGCTTATGTGCTTCCGTCTTACATAACTTAATCTGACGTGAGATGTGGACATTTATAAAATGTTCTTTCAACCTGAACCCTTTGACCAATCACATCCCAGCTTCGTGTGGCCAATGCATCATGTGACTCCCCTGCAACCCACCTCGACGTGTCATGTAATTCAGAGAATATCACAACGCGCACCAAGAGCGCAGCGGACTCCCATAACGCATTAGCAGTTTGGCTGACTCCAGTACACAGCGAGAGCAGTTCCAAAGTGGGGCATCAGATGGACGTGCAGAGCGCGTGCAGCTACATGGCAAGGGAGCGCCCTCACGTATAGCAGGTATTCTATAGCAACATCTGACATAGAACACTTTAAAGTTATGCTGAAAGCGTATTTGGATACGTTTGTCATAACTGGCCGTGACAGTTTTAGTGTTGACTACAGGGAGGACTATAAAGAATCCATCAGAAAATGTTCAATGCCGCACACTCGCCACTGATAACGGATCCCCGGAGTGAAAACGGGGTGGAACACATGATAACGTGCAAAGTGCTTACTGGGGAGGCTTTGGTTTAGATGACTTCCGAGGTTTTAGAGCTGCACAGGACAACTTTGTACAGCTGTAACTATTTGGTAACCAGGACGCAGGAAGACGGATGTGACATCGGTAAATTGGACACAGCGTGGTCATGTTTACCGGAGAGACACTAAAGAAGCAGGGTTGGTGATGCCGGCCTTTTAGGAACAGTTATCCCTGCAGGGCGTTGGCGTTCTGCTCGAGGACACAGTTTGGTCTATTTCTGGACCCAGGAACTGCTTTACAGATACTGTTCCAGTATCTACCATCAAATTGATGCTTGCAAATGTTCTTCCTTTTTGTCATTTTCAACCATTTAACAGGCTGGCCAGACTTTGATTAACGTCACAACATTAGAGTTGTAGAACATGGGCCTTAACAGGACATCACAATTCCCCCTGGTTGCAAATGGCAGAATAACAGGATGTTAACGCGTCATCAGCTTGCATGGAGGTTGATGGAGATGCCGGTATACGTAATAAAGAAAAAGGAACATAGACAACATTTGTTCCATTTTAAAGTAATACCAGCTTCAAAATAAATCCACAAGATTCGTGTGACGGCATGTTTACGATGCTCATAATCATGTTTAGAAATGTTTTTTCGTTACACACCAGAGTCAAAGTAGTGGAGGAAGAACCGACACGCCGACTGTTAATGATCCCTGTTTGTCACACGTCACAACATCAAACAATCCACTCAGTGTTCCCTGAGAAGTGATTAAGATAAGTTAGTCAATGTTTCCACGGCCTGACCTTTTTAGCAAAGCTGCTTTGAATAAAACATTTATTAAATTAGGTGTCCTGTCAAGCAGCCACATTTTCCATTTAAATGGCTGTTGAATCCAGTTATGTAGCTCTTTGGTGAAACACTATAATCAGTCAGCAGCCGTTAGGCAGCCAAATGTCAGCTTACAAAAAACTGTTAATTAAAAAGAAAGTGTTGTTTTACAAATCAAAAAATTGCAACGTGGCTTAAACTAACTGAATTACAAAATAAATGAATCACATGTTGAGGCCTTTAATCTGAAAAGCCTTTTTTGTGTGTTTAAGAACTGCACATAATCCCGTTTTTTGATTGGCTGCTGTCATATAATCAATCTTTGAACCGTCTACATTAATTACAGAGAGAGACACACTGCAAAATGTAAATGGCAGGAAAAAAACTGCTTGGCTCACTCGCATGCCATAGGTGGCACATGTATTTTTTAACAGAGCCACGCGTGGACAATTGTACCCTCTGGGTTCCATGTTTCATTTATTCACTCAGCATGCATTATTGAGGGACAGCCACGATGACACCCAACAACAACAGGAGGAAAAACATCTCTTCATTCTGCAGAAGCCTCCATCTGCTGCGTACAGTGACAGAGAGCACGGCTCTCGCTTTCCCTCCCTCCACACTTCGAGAAGTACTTTGATTCTGGCCAACGTCGACAAGCTTTGCATACAAGCCAACGCCACCAATCTGCCTGAATCAAGTGCAGAATCCCTTTTGGAGCATGAAAACTCTCAGTTACCTGCTTGTTCATGAAGACGTAGATTATCGGGTTGTAGACAGCAGCTGTCTTCGAAAAGAAGGCGGGGATGGAAGCCAGCCTGGGGTCAAGTTTGATGGACGGGTGGGATGTGACCAACAGGGAGAAGACTGCGTACGGCGTCCAGCCCACCATGAATGCCACGATCATCACCACCACCATCCGGGTCACCTGCCTCTCTGGCTTCTTGGCAGTGGCCAGTCGACCGTGTGACACCTGGAGGAGACAGAGAATCGCGACTAGCTATTAAGGATATTAACTTATACTTTATGTGTCAAAAGTTAAGGTGGCTGGGAAACGACATGAAAGGGGGAAAAGTAGAAAATAAAAAGCTGTTTTTCCAAAATCCCAAATTTAAAAAAATTACAGATATACTTTGGAAATTGACCCTCCTACTGGCCATGTTGCTGACATTGAAGTATTGTATTGTAACAGCTGATATTTATATCCCATTTATATTGGAAATGTATCTGTAACAGCTTCAGCTCAGCCATGCCAATGAGTTTCTTTGTTTCCAGCATGTCGCCTGCCCTCCTGTTCAGAGTCCCTCGATACGTTACGCTCCTACATAAAGGAACATTATTCGTGTGCAAACTCTCCAGGGAACCCTTATTTTGGCATCGGCAATTCCCCTGTACAGCTTAGGTGTCACTGACGTGGCCCTTATTGCACATCTACTGCCACTTAATGTACTGTGGCTGCATTCACGGTCACTAGAGGTATTATTATATTAAATGTGCCCGTTTTGACTCTAACCTCCATGAAATAGTTGTAGTTTCCCACTTAACGTCTGTGGCCTTTAAAACGCGCTCCTCTCCGCATGCATGATGAATCTTAGTATAACACTGTAAAGAAACACGTTTCAACCAACAGTATCAACTGCAGCTACACCCTAAAACCACAGTATTTCCATTACAGCGTTTCCACCATAGTCAATATGTCAGGATAATGTTCTCAGCCAACGAGTGTAACCTGTCTGTAGATCGTTATGATTTCCACCCTTCTATCAGCACAAAGCACGTCTTTTCTGCTCTTCTACCAGAATTAAGCAATCCCCCATCTACGATATCAATGATTGTTTGGAAGGAATTATTTGTCGCTTAGAAAAATTCACAAAAAAACATGACTGAAACTAGAGGGATGCATTTATAAATGATTAGTTTTGTTCAGAACTACTGACCTTCCTGAGCTTCCGCAGCAGCTTTCCATAGCAGAAGAATATCACTCCGAGAGGCAGAATGAAGCAGGTGGCGAAGAAAGTGATGATGTAGCTGTGGTCGATCATGTTTGTTGAATACCTGTTCAGAGGAGAAGATCAACGATTACGACAAAAAAACTAACTTTACACTCATATTGCATTTAAACTAATGCCAGCATATTATAATTTGATTTAAATCACGTTTTGCTGAAGGAAGAAAACAGGGAACTGTGAGAAAAAGTAGATGGAACTGTAGATTGCTCGTCAAACCATTTGTTTGGGAACATTTGTGCGTCCCTTCTAACAACCAGAGGGTTTATGATTCCATAATTACGGAGCTATGAGCTGTCTGTGAAATGTCATTTTGACATTCAGAGGCGTTTATCTGGCTGGAGACAAAGATAAGTAAAATAGTTATGCACCTCATTTGAGCTTCAGTTGAAAGGGAGACCAATCTCTGTGGCACAATGTCGGGATCTCCGATCCCCCCACAACAATTAGGGCCCCGGTCCACTTGATACCGTCTAATCTAATCCTGATGTCATTTCCAGACTGCCGTCAAATGAAAGAAGCAGCAGATTCATTTGTGAGGAAATACCTGGCGGACGGAGTGGCCTGTTTCTGTGTATTTGTATTCATGCATCTTTCTCCTCATTAAAACAGGGAAACGTGGCGCGCGCACACTTGTGATGCGTCGATTCATTCCTCATTAACATATCGCTATGTGACAGACAGAAAGGTACTTTATCATGCATGAAGATTTGTTCCGTTCATTCAAATTGCTTTTTTGAACAAAACTAATTATTAACGCTAGTGGGCAGTGCCATTCTGTGGTTAAGAAAGCCCTGTGTAGTTGTATGTATTTTCAAAGCAGTATCTGCAAAAAATAACTTGAGGTTATGGAATTGTAATTATCTGAAATCCCTGAAGTATTTTCTAGGACTCCTGTTCAGCTCTTGGCCCTATTAATCATTCAAACTGTCTCCCTTAATTCCTTGCTCCTGAAGGCAGAATGCGAAAATTTTCTATTTGATTATCTTTCTTCTTATTGCCCCCTTACAATCCCTCATGCAACCTTCTGTAGTGCTCAAGTGGCTCCGCCTGGATTTACCACATTTGCCCTCTGGTTGTATTAAATCTACTCCTTTGACAACTTTGTGTCATTAGGCTACGGTTTTTGGGCCTTGCGGGATGCAGAAAATCCAGCTTTGAGTTGAGTACGTAGATGAATGTAGGTGGGTTTGTTTATTCAATTTAAAAAGCAGTCAAATTAACAATGTTTTATTTAAAAGGTCTGAAAAATCCTTAGACATTGATTGACCCATGCTGAGCATCCATGCGCGCCCACACTGCAACTTCCTTGAGCAATTGGAGATAAATTACCATGGAACCCACACTGCCACTAACTGCCCTCCCTAAACCAAAAATGTAAAAGCAATTAAAGAGACAGGCCGACACGAGGGTCAACAATATGCATGACATCGCCAGAATGTCAAACTAATTCAACGGTGAAAAGAGGGTAAAATAAAATGAGGTAGAAGCTAAAACCGACAGATAACGAGGTGAAGGTAAAACATCGCATCACCTGCGGATTGAAACAGAAGACAATGACAGATTTAGTGACTTAATAAGCAGTTTTTGGCACAACAGCCAGAGAGCATTTAAATCTCCTACAGGAATGCTGCCGTCTGCCAAACGGACATTTAGATGTGAATCACATGAAGCAATCCGGTCAGATCTGTCAAACAATTACTTAAAGCTCATTTTAGGTTTGGGCCAGTTACAGATACACTTTGGTCTCAAGTGGGCCACACAATAAAATTATAAGGGGGTCGATTGGGGGGAGGGGGGTGCCGTCTGGATGGTCGACGGGGGAGGGCAGTTATTTCCAAGCGGGCGCTGCTGCCTGGAGTAACGTTGCCCACACTTCCGGCTCGCAAGCTACTTTTCACTCAACTTCTCGATCCAACTCATGGGAATCTACCCCCCCCCGTCCCGCTCGGGCAGTTCGCCCGAATAATAATAATTACGAGCAGTAGTGGTAATCAAACGGGACAGCAGCGCTGCGTACCGGGAGCGAAAAACGAATCGATATAAAAAAACAACACAACGAGCCTCTCGTCTGTCAGAAGCGACCTTTACCCTTGTAAGGGCAAAGTCAACCGGCGGGCCGCACTAGACCCCCCCGGCGGGCCGGACCCACCCCCCGTGCCGTGAGTTTTTCACCTGTGGCTTACAGGAATCAGTTTTCCCGCCTCCAGCTGGTGAGCCTGCCTGACAATTTACTCATTCCAACTTGGGAACTCAGTTATGCCTCACACTTGAAAGTTGAGGAAACTTGAGTCTTTCAGTTCTTTTTGCCGCTGCCTCTACGTGACACTAAAATATGGAGGGTTTACTGGAGTCTATGGATGTTACTCGTGGCTTTTAAAAAATTGGGAGGTTTCATTTTCAACAAATGTGTGCAGTATGAAGATAATGGGGAAAAAATGCACAAAAACTAATACCCACACAATCAGAATCCGCTTTAGTGGCCAAGTATGCCAATAAAGCTGATGTTGCATGGATTTTGGTTGAACTTTTGCATCAACGTACAAACGCAGCACAAATAAACAAGAAATATAAAATAAAACAAGGCCAACAAATAACTGTCTCATGGAGTTGAAGGATTTGAGCTGGCAATATTATCTGTTTGTGTCTTCATTATCTTTTCTTTTCGGAGTATCTGCATGGACCCAGAGGGGAAACAAAAGAAAACATGCTCATGTATGAGGTTTTGGAAATGCATCTCGGCTGCGCATGAGGCAACACTGGAACACCTGTGCTTCACACTGCTGCTGTTAACCAAATGTTTTCTGACAGAACTCATAGTGCCTGCAGGCGGAGGTGCTCCATAAGGTGATCTCCTAATTGAATTGTCGGAACCGTTCATTCTCGCCCTGCTTCATCTTCACCACCGAATTCCCCACAAAGATTAAGGCAAACACTCCGCTATCTGCACGCCTTTGATCAAAGCCGCTGAATAGCATTACCCAGATGGCCCCCTTAAGGGCTGAAGTCAGAGCTGACCTGTTCCTTGACTCGAGACACATTTGAACAGCGAGGGCTAATAAAGCTGGAGCAGCGACGAAGAGCTGAGCCACAGGGCTGAGTTTGGAATGTGTATAATCTTTATCTGTTTAAAGGTGGGTGGTGAGACGGATCATTAATACGGGGTTATTTATGGGCTGAAGGTTATTTATGGGCTGAAGGTTATTTATGGGCTAAAGGTTATGGGTATGCATAAGATGAAATTATTGTATTAAGGGTCCTGGGGAATGTCAGTTATAAAATGACAGCAGGAGGTCTGAGTCTTCATTATTACACAGACCGGCCCCCCCACGACCCTCCCAATCATGTGTTTGACAGACAGACAGCCTCCCCGTGTCTATTAACGACGATGCTGAACTGTATGAGGCTGTAAACTGTCACATGATAAAACAACCCTTTTTTCTAGCTGGTCCTTTTTAACAAAGCAAACTCTGAAGTAATTTCCCTTAATAGGAAATGTTCTAGGGAATGCTGGAAGGGGTTTGCACAAATGTTCCTGGGAACTACAGAGCCCGCCCCTAAACAACACTTTAGACAATTAGACCATATTTCCTCTGCCAGCTTACGCACAGCTGAATTAAAGGGTCAAAAAATAAGTTTTCACAGAGGAAGCTGAGCTTGGCACATGTTCAGAGAGGCCAGAACCACAAGAACAACACAACTTAATACATCAGCAAATTTAGTTTAGTATGAGTATCGGTCCTTATCTAGTAAAGTGTGAGCTCTTGAGATGCACGGGACATTTTACCTGTACCTTATTTACGCCCTATGTTATGTATGAAGCAGGAACCCCTGTAAACACCGCATGCAATAACTCTCTATTCGAGTCTGTGGGGGCCTTTGCACCAAGTGCTACTGTAGCGTTGCTTGGGGATGCTGCGATGTCATGGCAGGTATATTGCTCTGGACCTGAGGAAGCAAAGTGTTGAGTGTAAATTGGATGAGCTGTTCCCATGGAAGCTGCAAGCAGGACACCAGAGGCCTAACAATCGAACTGCGACCACAAAGCCGAACCGTGAACCTTCCTCCTCTGATCCCACGGGGGTCGCAGGTTTAAAGGGTTTTGTTTAAGCTTTGGAAAGCGAGATAATTGTTATTAACACACTGTCAAATAGCCAAACACACTTTGTCGTGTCACTTTCTGACAGTCGTTGGGTGGGGACGTGCAATGTTGGCGGAGCTGAGGCGGGTGATGGAGTGAAGGAAACAGCTGGTGACTTGAGGCTCCACCCACCTGTCAATCAAAGCGGGCTTGATCTCGATCATGCCTAAATTTAATCCTCAAATATTATTTAAACAGGTATGTTGTTAACTGGTGGAAGAACACTAAAAAAACACTAAAAGAACACAAAAAATATAATTTAAATTATTTTACTGCTTAACAAAAGAAAAAAAAATGTTCCTGCGTCCATTTACGATAAGTAAACGCACTTTGGACGGATTAAAAGACGGATTTCTTCTGTTAATAAAAATCAACTCCTCCGTTTGTGGCAGGATTTGGAAATGTCGCGGTCTGAAACTGCTTCCACCCAAATACAATGAAGATGAATAAGATTTAGTTTTTAGCACAATTAAGCACTGACGATGATGTCAAAAATCACACAAACCATAGAAAGAAATGCCGAACCCATAACCCACACGCAGAGAGGAGAAGGCTCGTTTCTCACCAGTCGGGCTCACAGGTGGTTCCGATCTTGCTTATGGTGTATCTGTTCCAGCCCAGCACTGGCGGGAAGGTCCAGATGAAGGAGAAGGTCCAGACGAACAGCAGACCCAGGATGGCATGTTTCGGTTGCAGTCGGATGTTCCCCAGAGGCCGGCAGATCACGAAGAAACGCTCGAACGACAGGACGGCGAGAGACCACAGGGCCACGATCCCTGAAGCAGAGGGCAGGAAGTCCTACAATTATTCTCTAATAAACACAAAAAACGTCAGCTTGTTCATTTATCATCAGGTCTCAAATGTCATTGAACAGATAATTCATGTATTTGCATCACAGTGTGCAATCACGGTTCTATATTTATTTCTAGACCTTATCCAGCTTGCTTTTGAAGGATGTCCCATAGTGCAATCACAGGTCTTTATTTCTGTGACTGCTGTACTGTGCAGAGGTAAAAGTGGTGGCAGAGATCCTAGAAATAGTTTTAAGAGCCAGGGCCATTTGGCACCTAAAGGGCTAAAAAAAAAAAGCTGTCTTTAATTATAGTGATAAGTCACTCTCACAGACCTGTTAATTACCCGTCTGTCCACAGTCAGGTGCTCCACGGTGTCTACTAGACTTAACTGGAGGGGACAAAGGAGAGAGGCGGAAACCAGGGTTTACGTCACACATCAAAAAGGTGTGTTTCTCTAGAAAACGGTCCATTGTCTTCAACCCAATGATGTAATATACTTATCGGTAAAGCCCAGGCGCATGTGACTAGAAACTAACAATGGGCGGAAATACTAAATACTTTCATCCTGAGCAGAAATTACAGTACACATACGACTCACTCAAGAGCCAGCTAACCTTGACACCTTTCTTGTTCCTTCACATGTACATCCTACATACACACACAGAGACAGGTGTGCAACACAGCTGTCAATCAGCTGAAACTGCTGTCAAGACTCAAATTGAAGTGGCGTTTCAAACCCCGTTGAAGAAAGAAACCTATTGATTTGCCTCCTCTGACAATACTTTCTTACATCAGTCGGTTTCTTTCAGCCCGAGAACACAATGTGTTTTTTAGCAGTTTGCTGGAGCGCTCCAGTTGCCCTGTGTTGCCTCTTTTCACCCCCCCCCCCCCCCCTTAATCGATAATACTCCTTAATAGTATTATTTTCTGTATACAATGCTTTATGACAACTAAGCCACCGCGATCCATCGTGCAATATGTCCACTTACAAGGGAGGGTTTTCTGTTGATAAAATAAGAGTCGGTTTTTTTATGACATCCTGTGACCTCCTGTGTCTGCTGTTCGAGTGGCCAGAATGGGATCGCACAAACCTTGTTACCAAATCCAATAAGGATCCTGCACCTGAATCGACCATGTATTCTCTGTTCTCTTCATTTAATGTACTGCGAGCCGCTCACCTCAACCAGATGCCCTAGATTCCACTTTGGGATCCTCTGTATTCCTTCTGAGAGCTTGATGGGAGTCCACAAAGCTCCTCCACAGACTTAGTTAAACGTTATTGGTGGTCACGGTGCTGTAACCTAATTATGGCCGGTCATGCACATGCAGTACGTGAGGAGGCTCCTGAGCATGGTTCTGAATTATACGATAAAGGCTCGCACAGGGTTGTTGGGTGTGATGTGCTGTCTTTTTACATGCACACGTAAAAAAGATCATGCAGGTCATATTTTTTTTTAAATCTACACTGCAGGCTCATGAAAGATAGAGACACCAGTGACTTTTTCTATTTATGCATGAACTCAATTAAGGTCCCTGTCTTGTCCATTTTTATATAAGCTTTTACTTTGACATACTTAAGTCCTGCCTTGTGGGCAATGAGCGTTTAATTGTGCAGTGTGTCCAATCCTTTTACAAAATTAATTTCTAAAGCTGATCACAAGAAAGTATCCCCCATATATGTGGTGAATGTGATGTTTTTTGCTCTATGTACATGTGTATTGCAAATTCACTGACATACTAAATGGAAATTTGACATTAACAAACAATAAATGAACAACCGCTCCAAACCTTTTCCCCCTTTTGGCAGCAATAGTAGTGTAAGAGATGCGTTACTTATATGTTTACCTCCCTCCCAGATGCACTAGAACTGAGCAGATGCTGAAGTCAGCGCTGATGGAAGGCTGAGGAGGATGCGCCATGTGCTCATCACACATATTTGCAATATCTTTTTATAAAAGCTCCAACACTGACACCTACAGTTATGGACGTTGCCTCAAGAAGCCCCGCAACTACAGAAGAAAAAAGAAACGGGAACAACTTACCGAAAAAAGTAACAGCAAACCCCTCCAAAACGCAAGCGCCCTTCCCAAGGAAGAAATAACCCCGAGCGTTTGTCAGGAAACTTATTACTCCACCGGTGAGAGAGACCAGGAAGTCTGCGATGGCCAAATTAACTATGATATAGTTCAGGGGCTGTCTGAGTTGTTTGTACTTGAAGGTGACAAACATGACGAGGAAGTTTTCGCTCAGGGACAACGAGGTGACCACAAACATGAGCACGGCCAGGATGGTGAAGTTCCACGGCGCGATGTTCTTGATGGGTCCATTGAACGGATCACTGGTGGCGGGCAGTTCGGCTGCCACGGTGTGGGACACGGCGTTGACTGACAGGCTTAAAGTATCCATTGTCCATGCCCACGGAGTCGGCCGCCTCGCCTAACCGATCGCCTTCCCCTCACACACACAACTTCACGCGGTCAACCTCCTTCACGGCGGCGCTCGCGCTACACGCGGCGCGCCGCTTCCCGTGCGCCTTGGCACCGGGCGCTCGCAAAGTTTCTGTTTGGTGATCCGCGTTTGCCGGAGCGCATGTTGGCGCACCGGAGTTGAGAAACCTGCCGCAAAACACGTTTGTGAAGAGCCGTTTGTAAAGCGTGGATCTCGGTGCGTGGCGCGCAGCACGCGGCGCGGGCACAGGCGATGTCTTGAAAAGGCGCTGACAGCGAGCGCACGAATGACCGATCGGTGGCATCTTGGGGGCTCTTATATAGTGTGCTGCGCCATCACCGCTGACCTCCAGGAGAGGTGACGGGACGCCGGGGGGGGGGGCTCCTCGTCATGTGCACTTCTTTTGCGCGCTGCAGGGCAACAAAGTCTCCAAGCGTGACGCATGCAGCGTCCGGTGGAGGACGGAAGCTTATGCCAAAGATCAGTTCCACTCTGCACTTTAGACACTAAATTACTTTATTTGTTTTAGTTCAAAGTTCAGGAATTACATGGTCCTGGTGGCTTTGCTGCCTAAGGACGCAACGAAGCAGGGAAACTTGTCACAGTGGACGTTATCGTTTTGAGTCAATTTTAACTGGTTCACCTAAAAGCATGTACAAGACACGTCAATCAACATGAATAAATTCACCCCCCAATGAACTGCTGCAGTTTTCTGCTGGTGTCTGTATGGTTATGAAATGCAGGCGTAGAAATTCCTTGTCTGCCTGCTGATAATTGCAATCAATAGCACTCCGGCTGCAGCTAAATGTGCCACCAAGAGGTCCACTTGCATAACCAGCTGGGCTGTGATTGTGTTAGACCTCCACCCCACAACCACAACGACACAGCCACCTGCTCCCTAATCAACCAGTGAGCTTAAAAAAGTGACACATTTAAATGGAAAAATCTCAAATTTTCAATAATTATGATACTATGCGATGGGATTGAGAGCAAAAGTCAGTCATCACTGAACTCACAGTGACAGTGGAATGGATGAATGACGCTGAACAGATGTTTAGGTATAAAGGGTGGATGAATGATGCTGAGCAGATGTTAAGGTGTAAAGGGTGGATGAATGACGCTGGGCAGATGTTTAGGTGTAAAGGGTGGATGAATGACGCTGAGCAGATGTTTAGGTGTAAAGGGTGGATGTGCACACGGCCGTGTTCTGAACAAAGCCAGAAAACATTTAGGAATCTTTTAAAACAGCATGAAATGACAAGACACGAGCTTGGCGACACCTGATCATCTGTTCAACAGTCAGTTATTACTTTTAGGGCAATTACACTCTGAGACCTGAGGTTTAAGCGTCTGTAATTGGTTCCGGACAGGTTTTGGGAAACACTTTGGAACTGACTCGGCCCTCACATCTTTCACCGCGCTCATTTAACACTTGACTGCCCTCCGCGTACCATCCTTAATCCACGCCCTTTGTGTGCACGAAGCATGAACATTGTTGTTTATTTAATTGAAAGCACAACAGTGTCTCTATCAGTTTTTGGTTGTTAATAGTGAATAGTATGTTTTTTCTGAAGACGCCAGCTAGCAGTTCCGAAGTGTTCCTTTATGTAACATCTAACTGGAAAGTGTGTATCTTGCTGAGAAGATGTTTTGTCAATGACTCCAGTGACCTATAAAAGACGTTGTGACCCAGAGACCTTTTTGCTGGCGCAAAGTTTGGAGGTAACAGTTGTGGGCTAAAGTTAAGTGTGCTTGCGGTGGTTATAGTGCTGGAATTGTGCATCTACCAACACGCTCCGTTTGACACTCATCCCCCTTCTGTTTGACAGCTGGAGGAATTCCTCTGCACCGTTCTTCTGTTTGGTTTACTTCCAATGCATGTTCTTTTTTTTTACTATACCGGCAAACAGCGACACCCATTTGCACCACATGGCACAGCATGAAGATTCAAAAGAATCAGGAGTTTCAAAAGAAATTTCAAAGCCAATTTGAAGGTCAGGTCCAGGTCTGCAGAGAAGTTTTCCCCAGAGGTTAATCACCTGGCCGCTTTCTCCAGCTCTGCCCAGTCTTTGATCTTGTGGAAGGCCGCTTGTCACACCTCAGTGACCATCACGTAAATGAGGATTTATCTTCAGCGCTGTCTGTCCACATCGCGGCATGACTGCTCCTGGTCCTGCAGGTGTTTTAAAGTGCCTTTGTGCCGAGCAAGTTCAACCTTGCGCTTTGCGCGAGGGAAGTCAAAAGAGGGTTACAAATTTAGCTTTGCTCTAAACTTAAAAAGGTAATTTGTTTGTATTTTCCAACGTGGACCGTGTTGTTTGTTCACGACAAGCGGTATTGGAACTGGTCCAATATTTAGGGAGGACGGTGGAGATGGCAGCCGCGAGACAGGATACAACGTCAAGTCTGCTAAATATTCATTTGTGACATTGAAACTATTTCAGATAACGCGGAGCTTCGCTTTCTGTGCTTGACTTAACCCAACGAATGAGGGGAAAGAAGGAGCTCCTCGCTCTCAGGTTTGAACCCTTGTCGGTGAGAAACAGGTCACATGACACATTAACTGATAAACAATGAACATCTAACGCTGCCAGTGAATTGCTGCAGTGCTCTCGCTTAATGTTTCAACAATGGTTGAGGATCTAATGGGAATACAAGGCCATGGGTGAAGTCTGCTATGGATCCCTCCTGCTGCTCTTTAATACAGTCTGGAAGCTGTAAACACTGCGTGTTAAAAAAACAATACAGTAAAACCCAAATATAAGCTGACTTACATTCATCCAGCCCAACATTTTAGATATTTTACTATCCTGAAAAACAAAGATCCATTTTACTTTTAGCTGTAATTCCATTTTAACAATTCAGATTGTTTTAATGTCTCTAGCAGAGACATATCGAGAGAGTCTGTCTTCTGTGTTCTATTGAATAACTCAATGTCTCTACCCAGGAAGTTTCCGGTCTGCTCATAACGACTGCCAGTGACAGTGAATTAACTAATTAGGGATTTGGATGAGAGGGCTCTCAGCATAACCAAAAACCTTTCTTGCACACTTAGCGCCAGCGCGTCATCAGCGTGGTTAAGCTACCCCACGTCGACGGAGGCACGCGTGTCTGAGGTTGTCTGGTGTCCCTGGATGCTACTACATCAGCCCGACGTTAGCAGCTCCGCCCTGTGCCGTATTAGATTTAAATTTAATCTCCAGCAAACCTGAGTCTGACTCGTTATGGTTGTATAACACAGTTCCTCGTCCTCGTCCTAAAAGCCATTTCCTTTTGTAATGTTAAAAATGAAACTTTGGGAGCTAAAACAGGATAGTAAATGCTTTGCAGCCAAACACATGTTTACCTTGACTAACTAGCTATACACTACAAAATAAATTATACATATATATATATATATATGTATAAATGGATGTTTTCTTCAGCAATATGTCCTGGTCTCATGCCCCTGGTTCTTCACACTTACTTAAACTTACACCCTGAGCCTCAGATTACAGATTCATATGAATATACTGCATACACATTGCTGGTTGGAGTGGTGTGTGGATTCAAGGAGCGTAGGTGGTTTATTTCTGTTTCTCAGAACTTGAATAACAAATAAAAAAGGGATTGTGATTTCAAAGCACTGGGTCATACGCAGAAAAAAAAAGACTCAAGGACTGTTTTCTACCATTAGCAAAAATCTCAGACAATCAGACCAGCGGCTGCACCGGATAAACAGATTACCTCAGATGCATTGGACATTTTAAAAGCAGGTGTGATGATGCCGAAACTGGAATTGGTAGGAGGACAAGCAAGAAGGGTTTAATTTGCAAAAAAAAGCCCCTGGAACACATATCATCAAACAAATATACAAACAAAACAAACAAACCTAATTAGTTCAACTCAACAAAACCTGATCAATCACATACTCACAGATGTTCCTCCCCTTTATGGCGCCATCCATCGACTCGCTCGGGGTCGCACCATGTGTACAGCTGACACCCATTACAATAGACTCTCCCCCATATACTTGGTCTGACCCGCTGATGTCACTGCTGACATCATAGCCTGTATAGGCCTCCAGTTGGGTAAACCAGTACTACATAGCACCTGAAACTCGTTCCTCATTTGTCCATTGCACAAGAGAGTGTGTCAGCATAACCAGAACAGCTCGCTGGCCTAAGTGCTGCAAAGTGCAACTGAATGCAAACATACACATAACAGAGGAAGAATATTACAGTGCGCATTAGAGAAATCTCACAATACATAGGAGAAAATAAATAAATAAAACATTTTGTAAATTGGCCCACAGGCGGATAAAGAAATAAACGGTATTGGTAGGTTTATTCTAACTGTATGAGAAAAAAAATGCAGAAAGTCAAATCATGTAAAAGTTATGCATTGATTTGCATTTCAATGTGAGAAATAAGTGTTTGATCCCATAACAAAACACAAGTTTCAGTAAACTGTTGTTAGCGAGCACACAGGTCAGGTGTTTCTTGTAGTCGGTCACCAGGTTTGTACACGCATCTCTGGAGGGGTTTTGGTCCGCTCCTCCTCAAAGATCCTCTCCAAATCATTAAGGGTTCAAGGCTGTCGCCTGGCAACTCAAAGCTTGAGTCTTGGGTCATGGAGTGGATCAAAATCAAATTTTCTGCATTTGAAGTTTCTGTTTCAGTTAGAATGAACCATTACAATTATAGGGGGTTCATTTCTTTGTCTTGCAAAATCAGCAAGGGATCAAATAATTATTTCCTATGCCACTGTGCACGGGGTATGTGTCACGGTGTGGTTTTATTTCCTGTCTTATTGTGTAGTTTTCTGCCACTCGTGTCCCCGGGTAACTTCAGTTCCTGCCTTGTCCTGTCATCCCCTGTAATTGTCTGATTGTTTCCACCTGTGTCCAATCACCTGCACCTCCCTAGTGTATTTAAGCCGTGTGTCTCTTGTGTCACTTGTGGCGTCATTGTCTATCGACCCCCCCCCCCCCCCCGTTCCTGCGTGTGTTTTTGCCCGTCGGCCTTTTGCTTTTTGCCTTTTTGACGATTAAAGTCCTTTTGCTTTCGACGTCTGCGTTTGAGTCCTGCCTTTCCACCCACCTGACAGTATGACCATATAAAATTGTTGACATGGTATTTTTACGAGGTATGAACATCAATTTCTCTATCAATACATGATAAACAAAATATACTGTGTATTTGTTTTTTTCTGGCATACTAAATATACGGGTGGCTTTAATCGAACCTTTGCATTGCCACCTATAGCCTTTGATACAATGGCCAGAAATAAAAGAAAATATTATCAAAGACCGCAAAAGATGTGAC